GCCCAGTTTACCAAGCAATCTAGGTTTCTCTTTATCAGTAACCGGTCCTCTTCATTATTAACCACTCCTTCAATCTTTGTCATCTACAAATTTTAGCAATAATGATTTTGTTTTCTTCCAGGCCACTGATAAAAGTGTTAAACGGTGTAGGGCCAAGAACTGATCCCTGCAAGACCCCACTAGAAACACAACTACTTGATGATGATTTCCTGTTTGCAAAATGGCAGAAGAAATTGAATATTGATAAATATAAAATAATGCACATTGGAAAGCATAATCCCAACTATACATATAAGATGATGGGGTCTAAATTAGCTGTTACCACTCAAAAAAGAGATCTTGGAGTCATTGTGGATAGTTCTCTGAAAACATCCACTCAATGTGCAGCGACAGTCAAAAAAGCGAACAGAATGTTGGGCATCATTAAGAAAGGGATAGATACCAAGACAGAAAATATCATATTGCCTCTATAAATCCAGGATACATGCACATTTTGAATACTGTGTGCAGATGGGGTCACCCCATCTCGAAAAAGATATACTGCAATTGGAAAAGGTACAGAAAAGGGCAACAAAAATTATTAGGAGTATGGAACATCCTCCAGAGGAGGAGAGATTAATAAGACTGGGACTTTTCAGCTTGGAAAAGAGACCACTAAGGGGGGGATATGATTGAGGTCTATAAAATCATGACTGGTGAGGAGAAAGTAAAGAAGGAAGTGTTATTTACTCCTTCTCATAACACAAGAACTAGGGGCCACCAAATGAAATTAACAGGCAGCAGGTTTAAAACAAACAAAAGGAAGTATTTCTTCTCACAACATACAGTCAACCTGTGGAACTCCTTGCCAGAGGATGTTGTGAAGGCCAAGACTATAACAGGGCTCAAAAAAGAACTAGATAAATTCATGAAGGATAGGTCCATTAATGTGCCCATTCCATAGTGTTTGCTCGTGATGTCTCAGCTCCCCTGCCCTGTTTTTCATGGGAACTAAAAACAAATTACCCCCCCCCCCGCCGAATTCACCTAAATAAATAACTGCCATATAACAGTGCTGTAACCTCTCTCATGTTTGGAGTGTCCTTGCACATGAATCCAGGTCTGGAATGCACAGAGCAGGGGAGAGAGCATTCCTACACCTCTGTTTCTCATGGCCTTGCACATACCTGGTTAAACAACTCCTTTTTTTCTGCAGGACAAAAGCTAGAAGAAGCTATGCAAAGTTTACGTGCTGCCTGTGCTGGTTTTCCCTGGAGAGGGTGAAGGGCAGGGCTAATTGGATTCCCCCCCCCTGCTTTCTCTCTAGGAGGCTGCAAAGTTTCTCCTTCTTCTCCTTATCAGTCCAGCAGACACTAAATTTAGATCCAAGGCACTCTGTTGATGATGGTAGTTAAAATAAATCCTCCTCCGTATTCTGGGCAAACGTCTTTCCTCCCTTCAGATGGCTTGCAGGTCTCACTCCACATGCTGCTCTTGGAAGCGAAACTTCTTGCCATCTTAGCTCATTTTGGTGGGATGGCTGTAAATGTTGAGAACTAGTGCTCATCTCTGTGTGTGGATTAGCCTAGGTAAATCATGCCTGGAGCTGGGAATAAAGCCCTGACTGTGATAGCATCATAGAAAGTAGAGATAGCAAAGACCTGTCAGGTCCCATCTGGCCTGAACTGCAGGAGACAGTGCAAGATCGTTCTTGAGAGAGTGTTTTCTCATGCTTTGAGAATACAGAATTGGACCCTTTCTCTCATCTCTGTGTGTGCTTCTTGGAGTAGAGAGAAGGGGGATATTTTCCCATCCAGTGTTTGGAGAAGACATTGGAAAAGGTTCCTGTGGCCGTTTGGCAGCTTGCGGATCTATTGCAGTTGTCATGAGTGAGATGGGGACCGCTCAAATTAATTGCGGCTATTAAACTAAATATTAGCCAAACTTTGCCCTTCTTCAGGCTATGTCTACGCTTCAAATGCGACCTGGCACAGTTGCAGGGCTGCCGCTTATGTGTCGATGCTCACTACAGAGATAGGAGTGATTCTCCCATTGCTGTAGTTAATCCACCTCCCTGAAAGGTGGTAGCTAGGTCAATGGAAGAATTCTTCCATCAGCCTAGCACTGTCTCCACCGGGGGTTAGGTGGACATACCTCAGGCTCTCAGGCAGGTGGATTTTTCACATTTGTGAGAGATGTAGCTATGCTAATGTAAGTTTCCAGTATAGACCAGCCCTCAGTACCAAGATGGCCGTTAGGAAGGACATGTAAGTAAGGGCAGGAGAGCAGAGGTGTAGACAGGGCGTAGTTGTGCAGGACCTGGAAGGTGTGGACAAGAAATCCACCCTTGCTGTGAAAGTTAAGGGGAAGTCAGTGAAAAGAGTCAAAAAGGGGAGTGACCACATCTGAGCAGAGGGCACGGAAGATAACTCTTTTAGCAGGAGCAGTTTTGGCTCGAGTGGAAGCAGCTGAGGTGCCGGGAGGCTGGAGAAGAGTTGACCAAGTCATGGTCAAGGAGGAGATGTTGGCAATGTAAGAGTGGAAGGAGAGACCAGGCTAGAATGAGTGAGCAGCTGTGACCGTGGGGCCAAAGGAGGTCATCTAGGAATAGCATTAGAGAGAACAGGGGAATCTGCTAATTATGGAACAGCAACTCACTGAGTCTATCAGAATATTGTTGGGGATAAGCTATGTATAGGGTTGCCAGTCATGGTTTGGGGCTCTGTTTAGTCACTAGTTCAAAAGTTTAGATTACCGTGTTTAATATCCTATCCTATAGGGAGTGTTAGCTGTGTTGGTCTCACCAAATTCCATTTTGAGTAATTCGGTTCCGCCTCCTGTAAAATTCTCACTGTAGTTTCTGTGGAATGCTGGATACTTCTTGTTCTAAACAGTTGCATAGCCTTGCTGGGCACTGTTGAATAGCTACTTTATTCCACCCCAGACACAGCCGCAGTTCAGCAGTGGATGCATGTGTTTATGTATTCCAGTGGGTGTTATGGATCAGGCTGCAGAATGGTTTCTTTCTTTTATGAGCTGGTTTTCACCTGCTCGTAACCGGATTCCTGTGCATGATGAATCCATGGAATCTGCTGCAGAATGTAGGTTGTTTGCCTCGGAGTATGTGGGGTCATGATCGTAACTTTGATTGCAGTCTAAAAAGTATGTACATGAGAAGAGATTTTTTGATGATAGTTGGCTCTTAATCTAGTAGAAAAAGACATAACGAGATCTAATGGGTGTAAACTGAAGCTAAACAATGGAGGCTCGAAATAAGGTGCAATTTATAATAATTAATCATTAGAAGAACTTCTTCCTAGGAAGGTAGTGTGTTCTCCATCACTTGCAGTCTTTCAATCAAGCCCCTCTAAGAAATGCTCAGAAAGAACAGGAGGACTTGTGGCACCTTAGAGACTAACAAATTTATTTGAGCATAAGCTTTCGTGGGCTACAGCTCACTTCATCGGGTGCATGCAGTGGAAAATACAGTAGGATGATTTTATATACACAGAGAACATGAAACAGTGGGTGTTACCAGGCACAATGTAACAAGAGTGATCAGGTAAGGTGAGCTATTACCAGCAGGAGAGGATAAAAAAAACCTTTTGTAGTGATAATCAAGGTGGGCCATTTCCAGCAAGAACACGTGTGAGGAACGGTGGGGGGGGGGGGAAATAAACATGGGGAAATAGTTTTACGTTTTGTAATGACACATCCACTCCCAGTCTCTGTTCAAGCCTAATGTAATGGTATCCAGTTTGCAAATTAATTCCAATTCAGCAGTCTTTCGTTGGAGTCTGTTTTTGAAGTTTTTTTGTTGTAATATTGCAACTTTTAGGTCTGTAATCGAGTGACCAGAGAGATTGAAGTGTTCTCCGACTGGTTTATGAATGTTATAATTCTTGACGTCTGATCTGTGTCCATTTAGTCTTTTCCGCAGAGACTGTCCGGTTTGGCCAATGTACACGGCAGAGGGGCATTGCTGGCACATGGTGGCATATATCAAATGCTGTAGCTCAAACAGAAGTTGTGGGCTTTCTTCAGAGATTGCTGGATGGGGTTCTCTGGCCCATGCTTTGCAGGAAGTCAGACTAGAGGATCATAATGATCCCTTCTGGCCTTGTAATCCATGAACTTTTCAAAACACTCACTCTTTAGGCTGAACTCTTCTGTGCTTGAGCTCTGCCTGAAGAGCGAAATCTTCAGCAAGTGGGAGTGGAATCCCTTTGAGCCCCCTTCAACTGAGGAGTGAGTGGGGGAGAAATAATCTCTTCCCACTGTTAAAATAAAATTCTTGACATGTTTTTAAGATAAGGCTACAAACTGAAATGGCTGTAATGGGGAACTTGGCATGAATTTAGCCTTCAGTGTGGAGTGGGACCTTTGCTTAAGTTGGGGTTAAAAACTGGCTTTGATTTACTGAGGACAGGAGCTTTTGTAACTTCCAGATGGTAGAAAATTCCCAGCCTGCAGGTGCGCATTGGACGGTTGCTGCACCGAAGATGCATGCACAGCTAGTGAAGGGCTGGGTTATGCCTTCCACTGGATGAATGCCCCAGGACGTGCGGGGAGGATGGTGGAAGGTCTTCCCAGCCTCACCCCATGTCCCTTGCCCAAGAGGCAGTCCTTGTGCCCCTACCAGCACTCCCCTTGGGCCTAGTCAGCGCTGCACATCGGTGTTTCTGGGTGGCGGAGGTGTGAGCAGGTCTATGTTGTGTCTGCCTTCCCTCCCCCCGCGTCATGACACTTGTCCTGGCGGGAACATTGGCTACACCTGAAACGTAAAGGCAGGCTTGTTCGCACTGCACTCTCCCCCTGCAGTGCCTCGCATGGTTCCAGACAGTACTACGGAGCCCGTGCTCCTCTCTGCCTTGCCCAGCGTGGTTCAGGTCCCGAGTTTGCAGCTAGTCCGGTGTGTGCTAGTTGGTTGCTTATGGAACTGGAGCAAGAACGTGACCAGGGCTGGATCATGTGAGTACCAGTGCTCGGGGCTCACTGTGTCTGTCTTCCTTTCTCTGCAGAGCGGCTGGCATTCCAGTGAAGGAAAGGGTGAAGGTCTCTCAGAACTGGAGGCGCGGGCGCTGCCGGAGGGAAACGCTCCTGAAATGGAAACGCAAGCAAGTGGCTCCTTTTTCTTTTACCCTGTACCGTGGCAGCCAATAGGGGACACTGGGTTTGCCTCTGTCCTTTGATTTCAGACTGTTCCAGGCCACCCCTACCCCTCCGGTCTTTAGGGTCTTACCAGTGACACAGACAAGGCTGCTTTGTCTTTTGATGTAGCTGATGAAACTGCAGTGGGATAACTGGAGGTGCTGCCTAGCCCACTAGACACCAAACCCGAGAACCCAGTCTCACCTGTCAGTAAGGAGCCTATGGTGCTTCTCTCAACAATAGGGGTTGGGTCATATTCCAGCCCTGGTAAATGCATTCTGCTTCCCCATGCAGTTCTAGTTGGATACAGTGTTCTTCATTTCGGATCCTAAACTGTTGAGTGATTTGTCTTCAGAGCCTGTCTGCATCTTGTCTCATACCACTGCCGAGCTCCTAATCTGTGCTCTGACAATAGAAGGTGCTTCTCTGCTCCCTTGCTGCACCTTAAGCCTGGACTAATCCCTTGAGCTAATACAGTCCATGAGCTTCTCTCCTTCACATCCCTCCTCAAGATTCACTTCTTTTGTTCATTGCCTTCCATTGTTGGGCCCCCACCTGGCCTTTGGTCTGGACGCAGTCCACAAATCTTAAAATATTAACTTAGTTCCTTCCCGGGAGAATGAGATGTGTGCATAGCAGTAAGGCGAGGTGATTGCGATTAACAACTCATTGTGGGCGCTGCATCCAAAGCTGTGCTGTGTGCTTTGCAAAATATCTAGGAAGACGAGGTCCCTTGCTTGAGAACCAGGCCTCCTGTAAGTGCAGCCATCACATCAGCCAGGCTGAGGACAAGTGAGAAGGGCCATACCAAATTCATGGACCATTTTGATTAATTTCATGGCCGTGGGTTTTAAAACTAGTCAATTTCACGATTTCAGATGTTTACATCTGAAATTTCAGGCTGTTGTAACCCTGGGTGTCCCGGCCCCAAATGGGATCATGAGGAGGGGTGTCACAAAGCTGTTCTGGGGGGCCGGGGTCTCAGGATTGCCACCCTCATTTCTGTGCTGCCTTCAGAGCTGAGCTCTGACAGTTCATTAGCTAATTTAATAAAGCCACCATCCAAACTACTTTGTCTTCCCGATTGTTCTCTTATCCTGAATTAAAACTTGTTGCTTTTTCTTATAAAAAAAGTTATAGAAAAAGATAGAGATTTAGTTAAATTGCACCAGAGAGAGAACCACTGAGACAGGCTAGAGGAGTCTATGGGGAAGCTGGATGTTCACTTGGACTAGACGGTTGCATGGGTGTGGAGGAAGGAAGAGGAACTCAAAGGTCATCTCAGAACAAAAGCTACCACTGCAAAGATGCCATGGCTGCAGGGAGTCCTAAGTATTTTGTATCTAGGCCTCTAGATTCCTTAGCCAGCCCCTCTTCCAAAGACTCCACTCTTGGCCTCTTCCTCAGGTCTGGAATCTTTGTCAGAAAGAAGCCAGTGATGTGCTCTGGCATGTTTTGAGAAGTGTACTTGTTTCCTGGCTGTGATGCTATAATCGGGTCTGTCCGCCTGGGAATATGTCCCGGGGTGGCCAGCAGCTGTCTGATTTGTCTCCCTTGTCATTGTCTCTGCAGCCTGATGCCCTGGATGCATTTAGATGGCGAGTATCTCTACCTGTCCCAGGCAGAAGACATCCGGGCCTATCGGTTTCGTCCAGACAGTGCTGGCCTACAACGCCATCCTCAAGCCATCTTCTCCGGCCACCAGGAAGATGTGTGTCGATTCGTTCTTGCCAGCTCCCACATCGTCAGTGGAGGAGGGTAAGCTCAGTGCTGTGGAGGGGAGAAGCTTTGGTTGTGGGGCCAGGGCTCTTCAGCTGCACTGGAAAAGGAATTAATTTTCTAAGCGCACTGGATGCAGAAAAGTGTGTTTGTCATCCAGTGCTCCATGTTCCACCATATGTAACTTACTTGCACTGCTCCTTTCCTGCCCGTTTGATTTGCTTCTTCCCAAAAGAGACCTCTCCAGAGGTAGGAGATGAGCACAGTCTCATGCTAATGACCCGTTCAAGCCTTGATCTCCTTTCGGATGCTGCCGATCAGGGGGCTAAGCAGTGCTGATTTTGCCAGGGATTTTAATATATATTTTTTCCTTTGCAATAATGGTCACTGTAAGGACAATGCATCTCGACCGTCGAGGGGCATGGTATTCAGAACTGGGCATTCACTAGCTACAGTTGTGCACACAAACAACTTGCATCTACCTGGTCTTTAGCAAATGAAAAGATCTAGTTTATAAGATGCTCATCTTTTGGTACCTAAGTGTGGTAGTAGAAAGCACGTGTAGTCATGGTAAATGCCTGTATAAGTGAAGTGCGCACACAGTCCTGGGACTCTCCCTTATGAAATGTAACCTGAAAGCAAGTTGCAGAGGTTGAAAAACACATAGACATGTTCCAGTTTCTATAATTTTATTGACATAACAGGGTAGCAAATTCTTTGCCGAGTTAATACCATTCATTCAGTCTCTGGGTCAAATCTTGCTCCTGTGCTTCTGGCTGCCCTGGCATGAGTGGGAGGGGGGTGTGTCTGTGTGTGTGTGTAACGAATCATCCATTCCCCTGGGATTGCAGGTGTTCTAGTCCTCATGTGGTGATGCTTTACCTGCCTTGCAAAGATGATGACTTCCCGCTCGGGGGTTTATTTTACAGCGATGGAAATATCGTCCTCTCTAAAGTCCACAGCTCCTTCAGCATAAAGTTCTCTGCACACGAACAGGAGGTGAACTGTGTGGATTGTCAAGGGGGCATTATTGTGAGCGGCTCCCGGGACAGAACAGCAAAGGTGAGCAAGAGTCATGTCCATCACTGCACGTGCTGTAGCAGAGAGGTGAGCTCTGCGCGTGTTTAAAGGCGGGTTGAATGGAACCTTGAGCCCTGCACTTGCCTCTCTGTGTTGGGAGCACAATGAACCTTGCTTAGGTTTCTGGAGAGCCACTTGCGATGTCAGCCCACCAGGAAAGGGATACAGCTGGAGCTGGAGAAACTAGCCACTGGCTTGAAAGGTGAGATGGGATAGAAACAGAGGGTCAGACCAGATGGACTTATCGGGGGGGGGTTAGGCTTGGCCTTATAATGCTGTTGTAGCATGTATTTCCCTTTGTGTTAGTCTCTCTCAAATTTCATCCCAAGAGTCTGGGACGGTCTCTCTTTTGTGGGCTCTAATTTACGGCGTTATTCCAAGCTATAAAAAGCTGTTTCCTAGGATATGTTTTTTGTAAAAAGACATGAAGTGTGCAAGGTACAGCCAGGAAAGTGACTGTAAAAATGACTTTGCAGACCCCATTTTTTTTGTCTTTCAGTGAAGCCATTTAGATAGCATGTGCTATGCCTAGGCTCCTTGAGGCCGGGTCTTGTTATTTGCTTAGCACTCTGCCCTGATTGTGCAGTGCTGTGTTGATGGATGGAGCCAGAGAAGAATTCCCCAGAGTGGTGGTCAGCTGAGTTTTAAATGTCTCAAGTGATGGTGCTCCCGGCACTTCCCTTGGGAAACTGTTCCATGGTTTTAAAAGATCTCGCTCTCTAGACGTTTCTCCTGATGTGTAGGTGATCATACGAGCAGGATATATAAAGATTATTCAACAAAAAGAACAGGAGAACTTGTGGCACCTTAGAGACTAACAAATTTATTTGAGCACAAGCTTTCGTGAGCTACAGCTCACTTCATCGGATGCTGTATTTTCCACTGAATGCATCCGATGAAGTGAGCTGTAGCTCACGAAAGCTTATGCTCAAATAAATTTGTTAGTCTCTAAGGTGCCACAAGTCCTCCTTTTCTTTTTGCGAATACAGACTAACACGGCTGCTACTCTGAAACCAAAGATTATTCAGTTCTTCTTTTTTATGATTGGGCATTTGCCCCTATCACTATCTTGTGCATCTGGTCTGGATCTAAGGCACTTATGCAACCTCCATTACCTTAGTATGTGAGCATCTCCTAACACCCCTGCAGGATAGGGCAGTGCTGTTATCCCCATTTTACAGACTAGGAACTGAGGCTGTGAGAGACCAGGTGACTTTTTCAAGGTCACACAGGAAGCCTGTGTTAGAACACAGAATTGAACTTGGGTCTCTCGAGTCCCAGGCTAGTGCCCTAACCATTGGACCATCCTGTCCTGCTTGGCTTGGCGTGGCTGGCCACTCTGGATAGTTCTAACCCAGTGTTACCCTATGTTCCAAAGCTATGTTTTTGTCAAACACAATTTCTGGGCACAGTTTGCCTTGGCTCGAATGAGTTTGAAGCTGGCTTGGCACCAAACTGTGCTCAAGTAGGATCCCGGGGCCTGTGTTTTGGGGCAGCACAGTCTCACAGCTCCCAGGGGCAGGAGCAGACAGACCTCTTATGACCTTGGGAAGAAACTCCTGAAGGTCAAAGGGAACTTAACTTTTTGTATTTTGCTCAGTTCTGCAGCCGGAATGAGCTTGCCCGCCTGACCCTCCCATGTGGCCATAAGGGACAGAGTCACTTTGATTTTTAGAGTGATTTTTCTCATGCGCGTTATAATTTCTGGTGGCTGGAAGGGAATCCGCAGCAGTACTTTAAGGGAGCTCTAAGTGCAGTGGATGCTATTGAGGGCTCTCCGAGTGTTGATTAGAGCTAAGCTCCGAGTAGCTGCTAATGTACATTCCTCACTGATAGGCACCAGATAGCATGCTCTGAACAATATTTTTAACCTGTAGGAGATAGGGACGCCTTAAAAGAGTTAAGCTTTTCTGCTGCTTTTGCTGACACTAGGTGCTAAATTCCCTGCTGACGGGAATAGCTTGCAATTCTGGGCATTATCAACAAACAAACAAACACGGCACCCCCAGCTTTGAAGTCTTTAAGTGAAACGTTGGGCATGGGGAGAAAAAGGGAGCTATGGACTAGAGTCTGGAGATCCATCCAAGCTGAGGAGGGGGATGGGGCTTAGGGATCAGGGTGGGCTCTGGCAGAACCCCACACTTTGCTCCAACTGGTTCATCTGTAGGGAAGGCAAGGGGTGCGGTGGTCTGAAAGCCCGATGGCAAGGGTGAGTCAGTGTAAGGGGAGCGTGTGTTGGCAGTGCTGGGGGAGGGGATGGGATTCTTCCAGGCTGCTGGAGGTCAAGGGCCTTGCCCTCTCTGCATGTCTATTGTTTGAAGATACCTAGGGGGTGGCCTTAAAAAGCCGGGCGTACGGAGATGGGTCTATCCGGGAGCACAAGTGAAACAAGCTTGCAGTTAATTTCCAAGCTAGTACAAATGGAAATCCTCAGTTATGTTTCAGAAGCAGGGGACGCGCCCACCCCACCGCTCCCCAGGAAAACAAAGGGGTATTTGAACATACCCTGATCTGGTTGCTCTGGAAGCTCTGCACTGCACGCTCTGTAGTAACAGGTCCCTGCCCTGAGGAGCTTGCAGCCTAACTTCGGCTGTTCCGTGGAGTGGAGCTGATGCTCGGCTGGACTGGGGCTGTGAGAGGATCAGAGTCTGGCAATAAAGTCGTCTGGGGACACAGTTTAGGCCTGTGCTTTTCCTGCTGGTGCAATTGTATTATTGAGAGTTCATTCAGAATGATCGGGGGGGGGGGGGGGGGGGGGTCTCTTCACACACAGGCTTGGACACCTGAACCCTTCCCTGCTTGCTTCTGGGTGCCCTGACGTAGCACCTCTCTGTCTCTCTAGGTTTGGTCCCTGTCCTCTGGCAGAGCTGGGCATTGTTTACACACGGTGCAGACTGAGGACCGGGTCTGGTCCATCGCCATTAGTCCATTATTAAGGTAATCAAGACCTTTATTAGTCATTTGAACAGGTTCTGCTTAACTTCTCTCCCCTCCACCCCTCCACCCTGACTCCCCATCCCCTGGTACTCTGGATTTGCAAATATATCCAAGATAGTGGTGCAGTTGTCTAGGAACTTGATGGGGTGGAGGCAGATGGGGAGGGAGTAGGCCGAGTTCGAATCACTGTAGCCCTCCACGGGGGCAGAAGTCTTAGGGGAGTGTGCTCAGGTCACCTCCCACTAGAGCCATGTGGTCCCAGTCTTGAAAGTGACCGTGTAGAAATGGCCTCTTTGTGTTCCATCCCCGTCTGCTCCCTTTGTTCACTTGCTGAGTGACGGCTGCTCAGCTTTACACGCAGGGCTTGCGTTTTACTCCTCTCAGCCCAGCTGGAACTGTGTAGAAACAAGACAGATCCTATTTTGGGTCCTGCACTGCTGAGGCTGCCCGCTCAGCTCTGACTCCAGCCTCTTGTCTGCTGATGAGCGAAGCAGAAAGGGGTCCTCCTGACTCCTGAGGTCAGGCTGGGCCTGTGGGGCCAGTGGTTAGGGTGGGCTCAGTTGGCTTGGGAATGGAGCAAATTGGAGAGGGAAGGTCGTTAATGGAAAGGAAATGGAATGCGAAGATGCTGTTTTCCAGCTACTCTTCTGAACTTAACCCCGCTCCTGAGCATGCAGTTGAGGACTTAGGATTGTCACTGTTCAGCAGAGGATGTCAAGGTGTTGCGTACAGCAACGAGTGTAGAAGCTGCAGCCTCTTCCAATCTACTGATCAAAGACTCTGCGCCTCCCATTTCAGAGAAGGTGAAATGATGATAGACTCAGAGAAACTGAACCTGTGTCCCATGAATCTTCATACTGGACTGGCAGTGAACTGCCACGTGTATGTGCTGTTGAGTTGGCCTTGATGTCGTCCCTCCTGCAGGAAACCTGCCTCCTTTTCTGGCCCCAGGAGGGACCGGATAGAGCTGCTAATAATGCCCGGATGGTGTCTATAGACCTAAATCATCTCAAATTACTCTGCAGACTATGGACCATGTTGTGCACTGAGCTCTATCCCATGTGTTCCCGGTGTCCCCATCGCAATGGACACTGCACCCTACGATGCTCCGTTGGGCTCTGCCATCCCTGAGTTTCAATGGGATGAATTTTAAGCCAGCCCAATGCCAGGAATTTCCCATGAGAACTTGTCCTCATTAGGTTTCCAAGCCAGTTTTGCAGCTCCCCATCCATTTTACACGTGGTGTGTCTTGCGGGGTGACGGAGCTGAACCTCCAGCCCAAGTGAGCTTCGCCTGTGCCTAGTTCCATGACGCTTTGAGTGCGTGTGTGTGCAGGCCGCTCTCTGAGCCATCCACTGTCATATCAGTGGTGACCAAGGTCCCCGTGTTGGCCTCCAGTCTCTTGGCTGGGGCCTGGGTGGGTTTTCCCTTCAGCCGGCATCTGTTGGTCCTTCTGCCGTGGCTGGGAAGAGCTATGCAGCGTGCTAAGTGATGACCTGTGGAGCTGGCCTCTAGTCAGGACACTGTCTCCTCTCTCCGGTGCGCACACACTCGTGCACACTCTCTGTCACAATATTTACCTAGCGTCTTTCTCCCCCCGCTGGGTGACGAATGGGCTGCTGCAGAGCAGCTACCCCGCAAACGAGTGGGCTCGGATCACTCGCTCGTTTCATGAGACCGCGAATCCCGCCCACCTCCCCTCTCGCTGCCCCTCCATTTTTTTTTTTTTTTTTTTAAGAATTAGAGCCGATTAGCCACGTCATTAATTCTTCAATTTGACGGCTGATATAGCAGGGCCCGAAACACACTGCTGACCCCGCATAATGGAAACCCCGCTCCTTAACACATTGACGATGGGAGAAGTTAATTAAAATTCCACAGAGTGAAGGTGTCGGCTAACCTATAAACCTGTCGCTTTTAAGAACAAATCGCTGCCATCCTAGAAGAGAGGGGATCAGAGCAGGGGCAGGCAGGAGGGTACGGGAGTGGGGGAGCAGGAGCAGGGGGCAAGGGGCAGGGGAGATGGATTTTCACTAATAAACTTATTGTTTGCTGTTTAACGAGCATGTATCCAAAATCGTCTCTGATCTCTAGCCAGGCCAGCTATTTGGGGGGCTTGTTGTCCCTGCCTGAGCTGTTGGGATCCTGCACTTCCCTGCTTTACATGCCCAGCACACCTGGTCTAAAGAGTGTGCATTGTTGGGCTGAAGAGGGTAGGAGAACTCAGGATAGAACTCGGGTAGTGTCGTTCATCAGCCAGAGGAGTCGTTGGTTTAAGCATAATATCACTGGCACCTTCCACTTCATCCCAGATTCTGCACATTCTTTGCCCAATTCTCCCCTCTCCCAGGCTGAGTGAAATCAGGAGCTCCTCCACAGAAGTCAGCAGCTACCCCGGTGTTCAACCGATGCAAGATCAGAATCTGGCCCTCTGTGTCGGGCAGCAGGCACTGAAGTGCAGCCAGGCCTCTCTCTGTGGTGGAACACAGAAGCTTTTTAACCACGTGAAGCAAGCGTGCACAACAGCTAGGACAGGAAGCGAAGAATGCCACCAAATCAACTTGAAACTGCAAGGGCATTCAGACAGAATCCAATTTCTTAAATTGGAAGTTGGCCAGGACACATGAGTTAAAACCCCAACCGTTTGGAAAAGCACCATGGATTCTTTAATAACCACCATCAGTCAGCACTTCAGTTTCCCATCTTGCTTTTCTGTAGCCTAGTTCTTTTGGTCTCCTTCCTCTGAAGCATCAAAGATGGATGGTCACAGCTGGCGACGGGCTGCTGGACAGGGTGGCCCCGAGCGTTCTCTTGTCCATGTGCTTTCCTGGCTGGTTGTTACTCACATGCTCAGGGTCTAGCTGATCACCCTATGTGGGATCAGGAAGGAATTTCCCCCTGGTCGGATTGTCAGTGACCTCAAGGGTTTTTCACCTTCTTCTGCAGCATGGGGTTTGGGTCAATTGCTGGGATTATCTGTATATAGCTCACATAATCATTTCCCCGCCATTGCAATTCGTAAGTGCACCCACTCTTTTTTTGTATTTAAAAAATAAAAATCTAAACTTTGGGCCCTGTCTACTCGACAGTGCAGCCCACTTGAAATAAGGAAAGCTTGAGTTACGAGGTGGGTGCGCAGTGTATAAAAGTTTCAGAGTAACAGCCGTGTTAGTCTGTATTCGCAAAAAGAAAGGGAATACTTGTGGCACCTTAGAGACCAACCAATTTATTTGGTCAGCGGCGACCCTAGATTGGGAACCACTGAGGACAGACCCAAGCTAACAGTATGCATCTGATGACGTGAGCTGTAGCTCACGAAAGCTTATGCTCAATTAAATTGGTTAGTCTCTAAGGTGCCACAAGTCCTCCTTTTCTTTTAGTGTATAAAAGTGTTTCTTTACGTCTAAGTTCTCTGCAGCAATGAGTTTTCTTTGCTCCCTAGAAGAAATGCACGTGGTCTGATAAAGGGCATTCACGGGTTCTACGTCCTCTCCTGAGATGCTAGTTTGGAACCTCCTAGAAACATAAACCGAGATCCCTCCCTGTACGGTAGCTTCATGGTGTGCTTTCCATAGTGGTGCTGTACTGGGGAGGTGGAGTTAGCTGTGTGAACGGCTACTGATGAGCTCTATAGGAAAAGTGGTGTCCTTAAGTGGAACTGGATCGGGCAGGAAGTTAGTCCCATCTGTGGGGAGCAAAGGAATGTTACAGGTCCTGCTGGTGCTGCTCACACGAATTGTCCGGGGGAGCTGGATTAGGCCCTCGATTTGGAATGTGCTAGCACCCTGGAGCTGGGGAAATGGCCTCAAAAGCACCATTCGTAGAGTAAATAGGAAGCGGCAAAGAAAAGCAGATTCTCGAGGCGATGGTGTGAATGGCCTCTGCGTCTCACTGCTGCACTTTGCTCCCCATAACTTCTTCCCTGTGTCATTGAGCGTGAGGTGAAAAGGCTCCCTCGTTATACTGAACTCCCTTGGAGGACAGCAATTCAAATCCATCCTCAGCAGGTAGCAATTCGAAGTTCTAGCCTTCTGGTGGCAAGCGGGTGGCCTGCCTGAAGAGCGGGTGGGGTGGGCTTCTAGGCAACTTGCCAGCGAATGGAGGGCCACACCCCAAACCCCACTATCACAGCTGGCACCTCCTGGCTCCCTTGTTGGCAACTTTAGCGGGAAGATTAAATGGGCTATGGAGGTTTCCTCGCCTTCCTAGGCCTGGAGAGGGTCCTCCCAGAACTGGGCGGAAGCACGCTTGCTGCACATTGTGGGTTACATTATGCTCGTGCTGCCTGGGCTAGCTCTGCTCGGTGGGCGAAGAGGACTTTGGTCTTCAGGGATATCAATTAAGCACCTTTTAAGAAGAAAAAAAAAAAGGTGTATTTATTTAGGAAGTCTGAACAAGTTCCCAAATCCTTGCTATGTAAATAGCAGAAACAAAACAATCATTCCAGCAATTAGTTTTTGTTTAAAGAGACTTTATAGGGGAATATAGTCATGCTATGTTTAACAGGTTGTCCCCGTATTCTCGAGTGAGCATCGTACAACACCTATAGTATGTCATTTCTGGTGATTTTATTAAATCATGCACCTGTTAACTGCATGCAGTTTACTGTGACTCCTCCCCATGCAAGTTTTGCACCTGTTCTGTCAGGGGTGTGGGTGTCAAAACTTTGATCTATTTGGGTAACCCTCTTCTTTTTGATGCACGTGGAACCATATGTTCAGCTGCGTGACTTCTTCGTTGTCATTCAATACACAGACATTCTAGTGGTAAGACCAGCTTCACAATTGTGGAGCTCCCTAACAAAGTTATATGGGGTAAAAGAATTGCATCCCATCACCTTTGGTCTCCTCTCCCTCACTTTCTCTGCATAATCTCTCCTCTTGCGTTCAGTACAGGCAGTATCTCTGCTGATCAGTGCCCTGAGAGCAGTAGATCACACAGTAATGTGGCACCTTTGGGACTTTGGGGAAGAATTTGAGGGTGTTCCATAAGGTGGGAGC